AGCCAGCCGTCCTGGGGTGAGCAGCCATGTGCCTGGAAGCAAGAGAGTGCCTTTCATCACCAGGATGGGCCGTCAGCATCATCGCAGGGTCAGGGGAGAACTCCTCCAGCAAGAGTGGCAGGCAGACTGACTCAGAGCCAAAGAATGACGAATCTAGATGGAATCTGACCTGCTTCCCATTAAAGCAAGAGGAAAATCTTGCCCAAGTCCATTGTTAGCCATGGTCTCCTCCACCACAGCAAGTTGTTTACTGGCAGAGGAGCTCCCTTTTGGCTAGGAGTAAAAGATCCCTGTGAGCTTCGTAGGAGTCCCAAAATGACACAAATAGTTAACACACTTGGTTGTTAACCAAAATGTTTAGTGGTTTGAGTCCTCCCAGAGGTGCCTTGGAAGAAAGACCTGGCTATCTGCTTCCACAAAAATCAGCCCTTGAAAACCCAATGGAGCAGAGTTCTGCTCTGACCCTCATAGGGTCACTGTGAGTTGAAGTCAACTTGAGGACAACTGGTTTGGTTTTGTGTGTGTGTGAGAGAGAGAGCCCTGTGCTTTCTGTACTTAAGGCATCCTCGCGTCTCCATTCTCCACATCTCACAGATGCACTAGGCCCAGAGAGGGATCCCCCAGCTGCTCAGTGACACAGCATCAGCACTGGATCCAAGGCTAGCTTGGGCCAGAGCCTCATTCTTCCGCTTCCTTTTTATTGTGACATTAAAACAGAAGTGGTCTTGCTTATCTATGTCAGGTTTTCAAGTGGGCGCCTGTGTGACCACCAGGCAGGTCAAGAATATTGCCTTTCTCCTACAAGTTTCCACAAGCCCCTCCTTCCCTTGGACTTCAGTACCAGGATGGCCATCAGCCCCATCTTGTTTCCCTGCTTTTAGTCTAACACCTGTGTGTGCATCCCTAAGCAGTAGCTTCATCATACTTGCCCTTGAACATGTAAATACTGCTATTCTTACAACTTGTTTCTTTCTACTTTGTGAGTCACCTAGGACCACGAGTATAACTCCAGCTAGTTTATTTTCCATGTTTAGTATTCAATGAATGAATATACAGTTGATTTATCTAGTATGTTATTGATGGCCATTGAAGTTCAGTATCACTTTTGGCTCTTATGAATAAAGCTGCTATGTGAGAATTGTTGTAGGTGTCTTTTAGTGCAAATGTGACTGCATTTATGTAGAGTACATACTCTGGGGTTCAACTGTGGGTCAGAGAGTTAATACCTCTCTGAAAAATGTCAGATGGTTTTCCAAAGTGGTGGTACCAGTTTACCTCATGACCAGCAGAGTATGAGGTTTCCCCTTCCTGCCTGTCTCTATCAACCAACACTGCTATAAGCAGACAGACATTTGAATTTTGCCAATCTAGTGGGTTTGTAGTGGTGTCTCAATGTCGTTTTAATTTGTATTCGATTAATAATGTGGTGGCATACTATTTCATGACTGTTAGCCATTTAGATTTCCTCTTTTCTGAAATGCCTGCTCAAGAGTTTTACCCATTTTCCTATTAGCTTCTTTTTTTCATTTTATTCATAGATTTATAAATGTGGTGCACACTAGTCCTTTGTGGGTTTATGGGTTACAGATATCTTTTCTTGTTCTGTGGCAGGCCTTTTCCTTCTCTTTAGGTGTCTTTTGATAAGCTTTTCTTGTGAAATCAACTTTATCAATCCTTTCTTTACGGTTATGTTCCTTGTGTCTTAAGAAACTTCCCCTATGCTAGAAGTCAAGAAGAGATTCTCTTTTTTTAAAATAATTATAGACTTATAGGAAGTTACAAAAATAGCAGAGAGAGGCCTCCTGCACCCCGTACCCAGTTTGTATTGCTTACCCAGTTTGTATTGCTCATCACATTATGTCAGACTAACAGTAATACCTCTCTAAAATGAAGATCTGCAATGTCAAGTGTTAGGTGCTATCAACTTGGTTAGGGCAAGAGCTTTTGTTATGGTTAGAATTAAATCAGGTAAGGTTAGGTGCCATCGAGTTGGTTCCGACTCACATACCCCGTGTACAACAGAACAAAACCCTGCCTGGTCCTGTGCTAGCCTCACATTCGTTGCTGTGTTTGAGCCCATTGTTGCAGCCACTGCGTCAGTCCATCCCATTGAAGATCTTCCTCTTTTTTCCTCCACTTTACTAAGCATGATGTTCTTCTCCAGCAATTGGTCCCTCCTGATAACATGTCCAAAGTATGTGAGATAGTCTCACCATCCTAGCTTCTAAGGAACATTCTGGCTGTATTTCTTCCAAGATAGATTTGTTCTAGAGAATCTCGAAGTCCATTCCTACTCAGTATCAAACAGACCTGTAAAGTAAAACTCCCCAAGACTTCATAGGCATAACTACTAATGCCAATGCTTTTAAAGGCATCAAAATGTCTTAAAAATGATGCTCTCTGTATTTTATAAACATGGAAAACTATCTAAAAACCCAGATCCTACAAAAAAATATTCATTATATCCATAAAGATACAGTGATGTACTGAATGCATTTACTGCACAATCTCTGCAGTCCTGTGGGCTACAGCTGGGCCTGTGCCTCTCACAAACATCTGCTGGTCGTGGCCTGGTCTGATTCTCTGCTGAATGAGGAGCATGAGAAGAGTGTGAATCTTTGTTACGTACACAACAAGGTAAGAGTCATTTCATATTAGTATGGTTTCCACACCATCTGATCTTTATTGAAGAACTGCTGAATGATCTGTAAAATCATTAATTTGACAAAAGTAAAGTAGAAAAAGGCATTTAGAAACAGTAAAACCACTACACCAAAAAACCAAACTCGCTGCCATTGAGTCAATTCCAACTCATAGTGACCCTCTTTGAGTTTCTAAAGTGGTAAACCTTTACAGAAGTAGATTGCCCCATCTTCCTTCTGTGGAGTGGCTGGTGGGTTTGAACTACCAGCCTTCTGGTTAGCAGTCAAATAAATGCCTTAGGCACTACACCACCAGAGCTCCTTAAAACCACACTGTATGTCTGTATACATGCAACAATGCAGGGAGCTCTGGTGGCATAGTACCTAAGGCATCTGACTGTTAACCAAAAGACTGGCAGTTCAAACCCACCAGCCACTCCTTGGAAGACTGGGCGATCTATTTCTGTAGCGATACCACCTCAGAAACCCAAGGAGGGGTCACTGTGAGTTGGAAACAACTCGATGGCAGTGAGTTTGGTTTTTTTTTTATGCAACAATGGGCTCAGGTATAGAAGAATTGTGAGGATGGTGCATGACTGGAAGTGTTTCATTCTGCTGAACATAAGTTTGCTATAAGCTAGAGCTGACTCAGTGCCACCTAACAACAACATGTCTATAGACTCAGAACACATCAAAATACGTGTCAAAGGAGAGGAATATGGAGTGTAATAGAAACAGTAAGAAAAGAGGCTCAACATTGAGAAAAACAGTGCTTTGGCCCTGCTTAGAGATGAAACATGTCCTCACCATTATTATAGGCTAGAGTGCCATGTAAATAATTCATGCTGATAAGGAATATTACAGCCAGGCAGTAAAAACAAACCAAAAAAGTAAGTAAAGAAACAATTTATCCAGTCACTATGTGAGTGCCTGTTCTACCAGGGCTTCTGTCCATACTGGTTATGGCCTGGGGCTCAGACAGTATGGGGCTGCTCATGATTCTCCATGGTTTATTGAGAAGAAACACCAATGGAAATGGGGGGGGGGGACCACCACCATGTTACAAGAAAAGGAATACAACCTAGAAAATGTGACAATTCACAGAAATAGCCCAGCCTGTAGGAGACGTGACTTACATCAGTGATTATGTACTAGTCCATACAGGCACTGTAGCACGTGACAGGAGCAGCAGTACCCAGCCGGCAGCACTGCGGACGGAGCAGAGGTCCACCTCACGGTGGATGGCCAGCTGACTCAGGAGGAGCACCAGCCGCATCACGAGCGTGGCGCCGGGGGAGCACAGCCAGAGATGCCCGAGACAGGGAAGCAAGCGGCACATCTGGTGCAGTCGGCGCTCGGCTGCTTTTATAGCAGGATAGAAGGGAAGGCAATGCAGCCCTTAGACTCAGGATTTTTAATTAACTCTGGCTTTAAGGACCATGGAATGATGCCCTATAATTAGCAATACAGATGCAAATGTACTGAGATGTGGAATCTTGAACACAGGGCAGTGAGAATGGAAGCCTCAGAGGAAGAGTATGGAATAAATGCAGGTCCTAAACATATTATTCCTGCAAGGGGCTCTTTGTAGAGATTTCCTCTAGAAATATGTCACACTAGCCAAGCCGTGGTCTGTCTTCAAGTTCAATGCCCCTTCCTCTGGGCCTATAAATCCCAGAAAGCTACATGCAGCTGAGACCCAGAGGGACCTTCCCAAGACAGAGCGTCCTGCCTCTGAAAGACCAGGCAATCAGGTGACGACTGGCCACTCCTGTTGTGAAGCTCACTCACACCCATCACAACCCCACAGGCTCCACCAGAATGCTGCCTCATGCCTCAGCTCCTTCCCACAAAGCATCCATGGACCAAGTAGCCTGTCTCGGGGCTTTAACTGGTTAACAGTTCTTTTCTTCTGGAACACAAAAGACATGATCTTGCAGTAACCCTGAATAAACATTACCAAGACCTACTGTTGTTTTCAAGAGAATCTTTAAGTTAAATTTTCAATGGCAATTTTAAAAACTGAAAACCTTCCTCACATCTCTAGCTAAGACAGCGGACACATGGCCTGCCACACGGCATGACTGGACTCCCAGTCATGATGCAGAACCTCACGCATTTATAAATATGTTACACCTGTTGGCAAGACTGGAAATATGTGCCTATTAGGGATGCTTCTTAGATGAGAGAGGTGGGTGCTGTGTGTCCTCAGCACCTTCGTATCTGGCCATCCTCGATCTGTGTAACCACACACCTCAACAGGCACCGTTGGAGACACTTGACAGTGACTGGCATCCTGACCGTTAACAGAACATTGTACAGATCCCTACATCCATCCTCCCTGTGCTGACTGGACAGTCAGTTCCAAGCAATCTTGGGGTGTCCGTAAGTCTGGGAAGAGAAAGAGAACATACAGTTGATCAGGTCAGCAGGCCCAGGAGCACTGGAATTCATCCCATCTTAAGTACAGGCTAAAGGCACGGCTTCAATGCTTGTTTGTACACAGGCAAAACAGCCTTGACTCCAAGCTGTGACGAGGCACTTCTTACCTTTTTAAAAGGTACGGCCCTGAAAGACACTTTCCTATGTGCTCTGTACACTGAGGACTCATTGCTCCATGGTCCAGGGGCTTAGGGAAGTGCTGCTCCTGGAACTCCTGGAGTCTGTGTGCTGGGACATTCATGATCTACACCCAAGTGTAGTCCCAGCTCTAATCTGCTTCCCTTTCCCAAAGCTCTCTGACCCTGAAGGAGCCGCCCCTTTTCTCCTATAGCTTGTGACCCCAGGAAGGCACTTTGGGAACGCTGCTCTACAGCCGCCACATGCCCCAGCCCAGCAGTAATGGAAGGGCAGCAGCAAGGTCTGCCGGGCCCTTGTCATCACTGGTGCCCTCGTCAACAGCTCCCTCAGATAGGGTCACAGCCGTGGCTTCGCTGTGCTTCCAAGGTGCCCTATACGGGAGTTCACTCAGGTAGAGAAATGGAGGAGCAGAGGATAGGAGAGGATGGCACAGAGGAAGAGGGCAACGAGGTGCCAGGAGGAAGGGACCAGTGTTCCCCAGGCTCTGTGTGTGGTCAGACTGGGCACCACAGCTCTTCCACTTCTCATCAGCGGCGAGCAGCCTTCTTCTTAGACTGTTCTTTGTCCGTGAACAATGTGGACAGGCACGCAGCTCAGTCTTAGGGCTGCAGCAGCAGGATCCAGAACAAAATCAGCTCATGGGCTATTTGAGGCCCAACTGAGGATCACAACAGACCCTGTGTTCTGTTGTACATACCAGTGTCAAGGCCCCCTACCAGGTGGGGAGAGACACATAAGAGAAGAGGAGCTAGAAGAACCGGGGACAGCCAGAAGGCAGAGCTGAGCGCAGGGCTATGTGCAGGCCCAGGAGGGAGGGAACGGGCAGTGTCTGGCTTGGCAGCAGTGGCCCTCCGCCTGGCAGGCTCCCTACCTTGGGCCGGTATCCCTGCTCAGCCATCATCTTCGCCTCCCGCTGGAGAAGGACATCGGTGAGCTGCTCCGCCTGCCTGGCCTCCTCCTCCTCCTCCTTCTCCTGCTGGTCCTCTTCCCATGCCTGCTGCTGGCGCTCTGCAACCTGGGCACCAAGAGCAATGTCACCCACAACATAGGCCCGTGGGCAGTGCCTGGCCTCTGATCAGGAAGGAAAGCCCTGGTTCTTCCCAGCTGGGGAATCAGAGCTAAGTAACAGTGACAGCAAGTGCTGGTAAGCAGGAGGGAAACTCAGGGCACTGCGAAAGGTCATGTGTATGAGACTGTGTGCCTGTCAGCAGCTCCGGATGAGGCCATGTGTGTGGGGACTGTTTTGTGTTACATATGAGGTACTAAATTCAGTAGCTTGCCTGGAGTGAGTCTGAATTACAATCATGTGGGCCAGGGTTTCAGCTAGAAACAAAAAGGGGTGCACTGAACCCCTACATGTGGGCTTCGGGGACAGTGCTCGGTGCCAGGCTGTGGAATCAGTGAAGAGCTCTGATTTGGAACCACGGCCTGGGAGCCAGCAGGGCTTGTTCCCTCGGGTCTGCTGCCCTCAGTGCTCTCACCCGCTGGCTGCCCCCACCCACACCCTGGGTGAGTCCCACCTGGGCTTCTAGCTCCTGCTTCCGGGCCGACTTGAGTTTTTCGGTCTCCTCTTTGACCCGACGAGCCAGTTCTCTCGCCTCCTCAAGATGGCGAATGAGCTGCTCCCTGTGTTTTATGGACTCCTCCTGCGCCCGTCGGTTCTGTTCAATCTTCTCTTGGATTTGGTGCTGCCGCCCTGCCAGAACCTGTCCTCAGCAGAAAAGAAAAGGGAAGCTTCCAGGCTGGCTCCCGCAGATCCCCGTGCTACAAGACTGGGACGACAGCAGCTCAGGCCTAAAAGTGCCAGACTAAGGCAAGGCGGGAGGAGCCCTGGTGGCGCCACAGTTAAGTGCTCAGCTGCTAACTGAAAGTTTGGGGGCTCGAATCCCCCAAGAGTTGCCTCAGAAGAAAAGCCTACCGATGTGCTTCGGAGGGATCAGCCACTGAGTTCTACTCTTGACACACAGGGTTGCCATGAGTCAGAATCAATTCAGTGGCAACTGGTTTCGTTTAAGGCAAGTCCAGACCACAGGATTGGCTCAACGTCTGCTGTATCTGCACTGTACACAGGCATTTCCCATCCGCCTCAACACGTGGCTGAGCACCAAGACCAAAGGGGTCCGAGATGATGCCCCTCCCTGGGGCAGAGAGATTCTCAGCAATAAGGTGTGTCTCGCGCCCTTATCAGTGGATGCTAGAGAGAGAGCGAGCTAGGCCACAGTGACCTAACATTTTGGGTTTAAATCTGTTCAAAGCAGCGGAGGCCACAGAGCAGCAGCATACCCACCACCAACCCAGCACACAGTCAGGACAAGGGAATCCAGGAGCAGCAGGGGGTCACTGGATATGCCCCACTTTGTGCTCTCGAGGGCACATGGAGAGTGCCCACAACCAGAACAAGAATTAAAAATGGGCAAAATCAGAAGATGCTGGAGAGTATCTGGTATTCACAAAAGTAAAAAATCACCAACTGAGACCCAGAATCCCATGGATTCCAGAACTCAGTCTGCTGGCATGCACAACAGAACATCTCTTCCTAAAGCTTTTTTAAACAACCTTCAGTACATGGATGAAAACGACACTTTTCCCAGAAGACTTCCTCACAGCTGAGGTGTGTTGTCTATGCATTACTCATATACTGTCAAATCATTCTGGTCTTTAACCCCTTAGCCCACTCTGGTTATCTGCCCTAAGGTGAAAGAGTCCTCAGTACAGAAAAGCCTTATGTACCAAGATGTTCACTGCATTGTTTGTTGTAATGGCTCAAAGTTAAAAAATACCAGGATGCCCACAAAAGGGGAATGGTTAAACTATGACACACTCATGTGAGGTTATCTTATGCAGCCATTAAAATAATATTTAAGATGATGATGTAATAGCACATTCAAATGCTTGAAATCAAAGAGAGAATGGTAGAGTAAAAATGAGGGAAAAATACTATGCATAGGAACAAGAGAAAAGGAGGAAATAAATGGTGGCTATGTGGACCAAGGACCAGTCCCTGGAGAAGGATATGCTTGGTAAAGAGGAGGGTCAGTGAAAAAGGGGAGGACCCTCAACGAGATGGACTGACACAGCGGCTGCAACGATGGGCTCCAGCCCAGCAAGGCCTGTGAGGATGGCGCAGGACCGGGCAGCCTTGTACACAGGGCTCCATGAGTTGGAGCCCACTTGACAGCACTGGCTTCGTTTTGGGGTTTGTGTGGATCATGGGGCTCTGGGTGATTTTTTTTTCATTTTTACTTTTCAGTGCTTCTGGTTTTTCTAATAAGCCTGCATTACCTTTATAATGAATTTTAAAGTCCATTTAAAATAACCAGAGACGACCTGCCCCCAAAAGATCTGGCAGGGTCAGGTGTAGTCAAAGAGTCCCGGACACCTGCGCACGATCTGACAGCCCTTGGTGTCCGTGCGCTGGAATTACCTCACTCATCAGTCTGTCACGGGCGTTCCTTTCTCGGGCCCACTCCGCCTCGCGCCTCTCCCATACCTCCTTGGCCTCATCCCTGGGCAAACAAAATGGATGAGAGCAGGCCCCTCCCACCACCGGCGGCGGGATGTTAAGTGAAGAACACACAGGGCCCCACAGCATCACTTAACACACATCTTGGGCTTCCTGTGGGGTCACCCTTCAAGTAAACCTACCCAACCAGGCTTTCAAGACTTTAAAACGAAGGGCAGCACTCACAGAAAGTAATATCATAAGGACTCTGAGTTACTGTGTAATATACCTGTCTTCTTACGGAAAACACTTGGCATGCTCTGCCACCAAGGGCCCTGCAGCACTGAGCTGAAGGAAGTCATCAGGACCCTGGTGGGGAGGGGGCAGGAGTGTGCCTACACCTCCTCATCACTTGGCTGGGCCAGGCTGGCTTGTCCTCACATCTCCTTGCCCTGAGATGACTGGATGTCAAGAGTAAATCCTCGGGCCTGGCACACAGTAAGTGACCCAAAAAGTATTACCTATTCTCAGGTTATTTGACGCAATTAATTTTCAGGATCCAGACTTAAGCACATTTAACCCCTCCCTAATTCATAGCAATTTCCTTTCAAATCTCTAATATTTAAGGCCAACAGATCTGTCTGTCTACCATGGTTTCCACTCTCAGTACGGTAAGCAGAAACAGCCCCACAAGCCTGGCCCAGCAGCAAAGACGGGCTCCTCATGAATGATGGACAGATAAATAAGGACAGAAGTGGCGACACGCCTGTGACTAGTGGGGACAATGAGACCCAGAGCAGCGGCCCAAAGGCCCTGCCCAGTCACCGCCTCTCACCTCAGCAGCATCTGCAGCTCTGCCTCCCGTTCCCTCTCCAGCCGCAGCTGCTCCTCGACCACCTGCTTCATCCACTCCACGTCAGCCAGGGCCTGCTCCCGCCTGGCCAGGTGGATACGCTGGTTCTCATCCTCCTTCTCAAGGAGCACCTGGAGGATCCGCCTGTCTGCCTCCTGAAGGATACAGGACGAAGTGCAGCGGTGAGCTGTGCGCACATGCTCTGGGCAGCAGCCAGCAGAGGAGCGGCCAGCCGCCGCCAGCTGCTCCCGCACCTGTCCCTGAGAGCAGGCGGCCACGAGCCTCCCCGGCGCTCTCCAGACAGACCTGGGGAGCAGGGGCTGGCTTTTTTCAGAACATACAGGGAATAATCGTTTTACAAACTGCAGAGGCCCAGGAGGGTCTGCCCCTGTGTGTCTGTGACCCAGGACACGACTGGTGGAAAAGAAAACTGGTAGAGCTTTTCAGGACACACTCTGGCAGTAATTCTACTTTAGAAACCTGGACCACAGAGAGGGAACTGCACACATACATGTACATAGTGTTCCTGGCCACTTGAATGTAAGAGGGGAAAAACCAGCAATAACCCAAATGCTCACTGGCAGGGAAATTACTCAAGTCATCAGTGGCACTGCACAAGTGCAATAGCAGCAGGGATGTTCCTCCCCATGGCCGTCCTGGGGGCAGGCGGGGACGGGAGCATAGCGGCCTTGGTGCTCTTGTTCCAATCTCAGGGGGGCTCAACAAGCCAGGGACAGGAATCCCAAGCAGCTACCAGCAACAAACTCGGCCTAAATACACTCTTCTAAAAGCATGTTCATGATCTACTGTTACATAAATTTGCTGCAAAATGTTTAAAAACCACCCCCAGAAACCCTCTGTGTATGTGTGTGTGTCTCTCTGTGTGTGCACAGAGATTTAGAAGGATGCACCCCAAATCATCGTCTCTGACGAGGGCAGGGATCGCAGGGGCCAGTCAACAGGGAGCCTCCCTTTGAATTTTAGAGCTCTGGTGGCATAGTGCCTAAGGCATTTGACTGCTAACCAGAAGGCTGGCAGTTCAAAACCACCAGTCACTCCTTGGAAGGAAGGCTGGGCGATCTAATTCCAAAGTGACACCACCTTGGAAACCCAAGGAGGGGTCGCTATGAGTCAGATCCAACTCCATGGCAGTGCGTTTGGTTTGGTTGTGGTTTAAGACTCATACGCTGAGCCAGGCCATCTCCACAGCCTTACCAGCTCCTCTTGGATCTGCTGGGTCCTCCTGTTGAGCTGCACGTTATACTGATGTCTGAGAAAGCGCCTACAAATGCGTAAAACAGAGGTCATCAGAATCTCAGAACTAGAGAGGTTAGAGCGCTGCAGGACACTGTAGGCCGTGTCCTTTACGGTGTCAAGGCGCCAGATGCAGGGCTGGGAAAGAGCGAGAGGCCCGCTGCTGGAGGGCCCTGGGCTGGGCGGGGCGGACAGGGCCTCTTCACATACCCCAGCTCCGCCTTCTGCCGCAAGGCCTCCATCTGCCTCCTGTCCTCCTCCAGCTGCTCCAGCTCCCACCGTTGCTTCAGCAGGTTCTCTTGCTCCTTTTTCAGTTTGGTCGCCTGTGGTTACAAAGACAGGAGACCCAACCAAGATCCTGGGCATCTGAACGGTCTTCATTCCTCATCACCAGTGTCAGCAGACACAAGCAGAAGGGCTGGCCTGGCCCCTAGAGGTCATGTTCTTGCCCCGTCGGGGGCTCTCAGCCCTCCGCTTCACTCACTCATTTGTACCGTTTCATGGAGCCGTTTCCTCCAAAAGCCTTTCCCAAGTCTGCAGACAAGGCAGCCTCACACTCCCATAGGCCATGTCCTTCTCCCCACTTTACTGAATGTGTCTCCCCACCTGACACTCTTCCACCAGGAAGGCCGCGACTGTGGGCCTTCCCTACCACCATCTCTCTGGCGCCCAGCCCAGCGCTTAGCACCCAGTGTTAGTAGTAGACACTAATGATCTGTGTAGTGGACAATTCAGTCCTTGGGGAACAGAGGGACAAGGACACCAAATGAGCCCAGGGCCTGGCCTCATCTGATGGGAAGACCCAGCCCCACAGGGAAACTGCACACTGGACCAAAACCCCACATGGCTTATGCCTTGAGACCCAAGACCCGCTACCAGTGGAAAAGTGTGTGCTACTTCATGCACTGGAAAATTTAAGTCCTAGGAAGGCTCGGGGCAGCTTCTCTAAATGCATCTAGAGCACACATGCTGTGGGCACACAGCCTAGGACTCTGGAAAACACCAGATGGGAATTCATGCAGGGAAGGGAGAACCCAGCTGTTGTTGCATTTGGTAAAATCACCTCTCCTGATCCGATCTCTCATTAGAAGGGTGTGTTAAATTCCCATTTGAGAGAACAGAAGGGCAATATTTGCACAGGGAGACAGCTTGGGGGGCAGGAATGCATAGGAAAGAAGGACGCAGTGAAGAGGTAACTATGGGGAGGAAGTGGGAAGAGAGCTGTTGCATTGTGGGGAATTGCAGTCAATGTCATGAAACAAAATGTGTATGAACTGCTGTGTGGAAAATGAATTTGCTCTCTAAACTTTCACCCAAATCACAAAATCTTTTTTTAAATAATAAATTCCCATTTGATAGCAATGAGCAGATGCCAGGGAGGGGGCATGGTGGCCTGCGCTCACCTCTATCTCCTTCACCTTCAGCTCCTCCATCTGCTGAAGCAGCGCCTGGGCCCGCAGCCTCTCCTCCAGCTGCCTCCTCTCCTCCTCTGCTGCCATCCGCTCCATCGCTTCCCTGCGGGCCGTTTCGTATTCGTTTTCATACTGCTTTTTCTCTTCCTCCTCGGTGGCTTCTTGCTACATGGAGTCAGAGGGACTGGGAGGTCAGTATCTGGAGCACACAGCCTCAAAGGCCTGGCTCCTGCCCCTGCCCAGCAGGCCAAAGGGTGCTGTTCCTCATGCCCACATGTCCCTGACTGCTCACCATGTGGCCCTGGGCATCTGGCCCTGGGCTAGGGGGCATGCTCCAGGCCTGGGGGCGGGGGGGGGGGTGCTGCCTGCAGGGAAGCTGAGACCTCAGCATGCCTGGCTCCAGAATGTCGGGTTTCCTCCCCTTTCACAATTCAACGAAAAACTTTCCAAATCGAACTTGGAGGCAGAACAGTGGTTTCAGTAGGTGTGGATCCTACCCCTAGAAGTGCCACTATAAACCAAGATTGAGAGTTTATGATGCAATCACATCAAGAGAGACAGCTGGTGGCAAAAATGACTTTAAAGATGCACATGCCATCAAGCAGCCCTGTGGAGGCAGCCAGCCCTGGTCACCTGGTCTTGTTATGACCCTGGGAACAATCCCTAGAACTCTTAAGAGCCAACTTCAGTTATAATGTGTGTTTGCTGTTGTTATGTGCCCTGGAGTCAGACCTGACTCAGCGACCCCTCTCCTCTGAGGCGGTATCACTACAGAAGTAGACTGCCCAACTTTCCTTCCGAGGAGTGACTAGTAGGTTTGAACCGCCAGCCTTCTGGTTAGTAGTCAATGCCTTAGGCACTACACCACCAGAGCTCCTAATGCGTGTTTAGTAAAGAGGAAACTGTCTGTCCCTCACCTGTGGTCATTAGCATTGAAAACAAGAAATCAGTTCACAGGTGGAGATGTCTCCCTCTCAGCACAACACAGGGAGCATTCTCAGAGTCGAAAGCCATACCTGTTTCTTGTCATCTCTCTGTGTTTCCCAGCAGTTTATCACATGCTGCTTGTGGAGGTCCTGCTCAATCTAAGGATGAGCGATCAAGAATATTAATTTCCTGGTTAGTTCATCTGATAGAAATTTACTGCGGGGGACAGCGTGCTGCCACAAGTGACGTGGTGATCATGACGTCCTTTGTAAGGACTCCAAGACGCCCAGTGTTCACTTCGGAACACTCAGGGCACGCAAGGGACCCCAACATACACAGTCTGAATGTTGACAGAATCGGGAATTAGACAACCAAAGGAGCAGGCATCCTAGGTCAATCCCAAGAATTAGAACAAAGAAACAGAAACTTCCCCAAGTCAGCACACGGTGAAATGGAGGTAAGATTTCAAAGGCCACCCACCCTGGCTGGTAACGTGGTTGCTTTATCCAGAACATCCTTCCCTTGTCTCTGCACCTTTGAGTTAACCACCCCTATCCTTCAGACCCCAGCCCCTCTTCTCAGACACCTCCCAGACCCATCCCCCCAGGCCGGCCCAGCACCCAGCAGCCTGCACTGCATCCATCTGCCCACTGTCTCCCCACTGGACTGCGAGCTCCTTAAGGGCAGAGACCCCGTCCCTTGTCCCGGCCCCCTGGGGACGCCATGCAGGAGCAGCTCTGGAAAGGCTTGTGAAATGACAAGTGACCGCTCAGTGCAGCTACACCAGGCCCTCTGCACACTGCTCCTCCTAGCTGGAGTGTTCCCTTCTCTGCTGCAACCCCAGCACAGGATGCAAGTTCAGAACTGTCTGGGAACATGATATCATCTACTCAGGCCAATCAGTGGCAGGATCTCCTTGGTTTTCACCTCTCGGAGTTTGGGGTCGTTCTTTTTCCAGTGCTCATACAGCAACTGCTCAGCAATCTGTCAGGAAAACACAGAAAGGGGAGTGTAGTGTCATTTCTCAAGCCCAACCACATCTTGCACACCCACGATGAAGGACAGCTTAAGGAGGCAGGCTGAGTTCCTTGCTCACACATGCTCACTGCAGCTGGCCTGCCACCGCGGCTCTGTGAGCTGCCACCTGAACAAAGCCGGAGAGGGAAGGACTTCGGTGGTAGGAAAGGGGCTGAATCTGAGCTATCCACAAGTCACACCCAGCAGGTTTCACATTATGTTAAAAAAGAAACAAAAAAAAGGTGCTGCAAGTCAACCCGACTCAGGGTGACCCCGTGTGTGTCAGAGTAGAACTGGGCTCCATACGGTTTTCCAGGGCTGATTTTCTGGAAGCAGATCACCAGGCCTTTCTTCCAAGGCGCTTCCGGATAAACTGGAACCCCCGATCCTTCAGTTAGCAGCTGAGCTTGCAATAACAGTTTGCACCACTCAGGGTGAAAATACCAGCAGGCTAGAAATATATCTTGGAGCTCTCCATTCCACCAACTATTGTGGAAGGTAAAATATCCCAGACCCAGACTTCTGTGGAACCCCAGAACTGGAATAAAGAGAAGGGATTCAGATGTACTGATTCAAGGAAGCCGAGACAGTAGAACTGGCTCATGCAAAGCACACTCTCTCAGGACTTAGAGTCTGTGCTCTTCCCGGCTGCCTCTGAAGTCCGTTACCGTCACATCAGACCACAGTTTCTGACCGACAGGCTGTGCTGCTCCTGCTAAAGCCCTATGAGAACTTGCCAGTTTCCTCTGCTCTTCTTGGGCTGATTTCAGGTCCCTGTGCCGCTCGCGGATTCTTCTTTCCCGCAGATTCATGCTCAGCCTCAGCTCCTCCAGCTCCTTGGCCAGCAGGTCCTGCTCCTCTAGCACAAGCTGCCTGAGTCGCTCGCGTCTGGCCTCCAGGCTCCGCCTCTTCTCCTCCTTCATCTTTTCACGCTGGTAGGCATGCATGCTGGGTGAGAAGGAGCAGTGATTAATCAGTGAACCTACAGATAATGTGGTGACACAAATCTATGACAGGCTTCTATATACAGAGAACAGTAACAGCTAGTTTTTCAAACAATTATATGGGCCAGGGGCTAAGATATATGTGTATGTAGGTGTTCATGTATGTGTACACGTGTATATGTATGTATAGTGCGTATATGCATGTATGTGTGTGCATGTGTGTATATGTATGTGTATACATGCTATGTATGTGTGTGTACAGGTACACTCTGTCTTATTGCGCTTCACTTCATTGTGCTGTGCAGATACACCATGTCTTAACAAATTGAAGGCCTGCGACAACCCTGCAACGAGCAAGTCTATCGGTGCCATTTTTCCAACAGTGTGTGCTCACTTCGTGTCCCTGTCTCACATTTTGGTAATTCTCCCAATATTTCAAACTTTTTCATAATGCTATTGCACACTTACTAGACTACAGTATAGTATAGATGTAAGTTTTATATGCACTAGGAAACCAAAAAAATTATGATTTGCTTTATTGCAGTATTCACTTTATTGTGGTGGCCTGGAACCAAACCCACGGTCTGTCCAAGGTCTACCTGAATAAATGAGTAGCTATTGAGCCCCTGGGGGGTGCAGCTGGTTCATGCACTCGGCTGCAAAGCACAGGGCACGTGCATCCAGAGGCACCTTGTCCTGGCAATCTACTTCCAAAAAATCAGCCCTTGAAACCCTATGGAGCAGAGTTCTACTCCTGACACACACGGGGCACCACGAGTCAGAGTCAATTCAGCAGCAACTACGTACACATATATGTACGTGTGGGAATAAAAACTAAAACCAAACTCATTGCCGTTGAGTCGATTCTGACTCACAGCAACCCCTCCTTGGGTTTCCGAGGCAGTATCTCTACAAAGTAGATTGCCCAATCTTCCTTCCAAGGAGTGGCTGGTGGGTTTGAACTGCCAGCCTTCTGATTAGCAGTCAAATGCCTTAGGGGTGGCATCTTCTGACCTCCTCTAACCCCACAAGAGGAAGACAGAATCACCATCAGTAGCCCAAGGCCTATTCCTGCGAGGCCAGATGTGCCACCTCCCTCCAGCCCTTTCACCAACCCTGGCACCAATCATTCCTGCTGCAGCACCCACCACCTCTCTGCTGGGCTCAATAATTCACTGCAGTGGCCACACAGAACTCACAGATTATGGGGTTTATTAGGGAAGCAATAGGCTACAATTCAAGTTCAGAAATGCACTCAGTCTTTCTCAGCCAGCCGTCTCACTTAGCAGCTGGCAGTCTCTCTCTCAGTAATGTGTGTCTCTCACAAATCTCTCTGCAGCACGTCTCTTGCGTCTCTCCACAGCACGTCTCTCACGTTTCTCTCTCAGCAAGTGCATGTCTCTCAGGAGCATGTTTTTCTCAGCAGCACGTCTTTCTCAGCCAGCAGTCAGAGAGACTCCTGCCTCCAGGAGGGCTCCTTTTCAGCCTGGCAGAGTGGCCAAACCAACCAATCCCAAGATCAGAATTCTATACACCTGAGAGAGAGCTAACTTCCCAGAAGATTGCTTCCTGCCACTCTCAACAGAAATACTCCAGGTGGGTAACTTTAACAATCAGGAGTTACCCAGTTGCTCATGGCAAATTCTACCAGAGTTTACAAAGACCTATGGCTAGAAAAGCCACACTATGCAGTTTACGATACCACAGCACTACACCATGCCACCAGAGCTCCTATGTGTGGATATACATATATATTTCCATGACTGCTGTTACATTAAGTATCATCTAAGTCCTATGAAGTAGCTTCTGTTTTAGCACAACTTTAATGATAAGAAAACAGGCTCATTCATGTAGCAGGATTTCTATCCAGCTCTATTTGACTCGAAAGCCTATGCTTTTAACTTCCATGTGTTGGTATGTTGTTGTTATGTGCCGTCAGGTCGGACCCAACTCATAGAGACCCCTCCTTGGGTTTCCGAGGCGATATCACTATGGAAGTAGATTGCCCAACCTTCCTTCCGAGGAGTGGCTGGTGGGTTTGAACCGCCAGCCTTCTGGTTAGATTGATATCTATTACAGTATTGATACGTATTTCTATAAAAATGGAGTTATGTGTGAATGTGTGTTTTTTATAAAAGTACAGAGATGTGGGGTTACAAGGAGACTTCTAATTTCTAGTTCAAACACTTCTGTTAAGTTTTATTATTTTTTTAATGCAAATGTACTACTTCTCTGATTTTTTGTCTTTAGGCAATCCGTGCTGTTCAGCAAATCCCTCCAGAAGACACGCTGTGAAACCTGGCCACATTCCCTTGCCCCTTAACGCCACGCCCCATGACCATCAAGCGGCCCCCATCTCCATCTCACTGCAGTCACCACGTAGTCACCTCCGCTGGTAGGAGATCTTGGAGCTCCACTCCGCCTGCTTGGAGCTGCAGATATCAGACAGCTGGAAGTAGCGGCTGTTCTGATCCCACTGCTCCCGGAGCCGGGCCGCCTGCTCTCGCTGCCGTGCTAACTGCTGACGCAGGAGCCGCGGGCTGCACCAGTAGAAGGGCAGTGTGGGCAGAGCCATCTGAGGAGAACAGCGATGGCAGGAAAGTGAGCCGACTGCAAACCCCAGGAACCCTCCCGAGCTTGGGCTCATCTCTCCAGTCAGTGGCCCTGACCCCTGGCTGCACACTGGAATCACCCGGTGGAGCCTTAAAAAAAAATACCAGACCAATTAAATCAGCAAATCTTAGAGAGCCCAGGCATCAGCATTTTTTAAGCGATTTGCTGTCAGCGTCGCAAATTGCTGACTGACATAAACTTGGGCTGCCCTGGCTGGTGGGCCAGGCATTCTCAGGGGCACTGAGGACAGAGACAGAGAACCACTCCTTAGCAACGCTGGGTCAGACACATTGGGACTTTCACACTCTGTGTAAAGTAACACAGACGATCATGTAAGGAACATGTCATGACCATGCTCATCCTTAAATCCACCCCCATTATTTAGTAGACTGTTTTATTGTTGTTATTTGCCATCGACTCGGCCCTGACTCATAGCGACCCGTCCTTGGGTTTCCGAGGCAGTATCACTACGGAAGTAGGAATGCCCAACCTTCCTTCTGAGGAGTGGCTGGTGGGTTTGAACCGCCAGCCTTCTGGTTAGCAGTCAAGTGCCTTAGGCACTATGCTACCAGAGCTCCTTATTTAATAGATTAGGAAATGTAAATTCAAAGAGGTAAAATAATGTTGCAGTGCAGGGAATTGCTTGATACGGCCCTTCTAACCATGGTCTTCCACTGTGTGATGTACCATAAGCCCGAGCCTCTATGGTTGTTTAGGGTGGGATGTATCCTGAGTCTCGCCTTGCTGGAGGGGGTGACTCAAGGCACCACCCTTGGTTTCCTTGAGGATATATATGTGAATGTTCCAGCCAAGTTCGCTCTGTCTTGCTTCTGATCCTGCCTTTGGTCTGTCAGCATCTCACCCCTGGACTTGAGACAGCAGCCAGTCATGTGACCTGCCAATTTGGGTTCACCAGCCCCTGTAACCACATGAATGAGAAAACTCCTCCGGACCTACGTCTGACCCACAGATTTGGGACTTGCTAGCCTCTCCGCCTCCACCACCGAGTAAGCCATTTCCTTGGTGTTTGTGAGTCCTGTAAGATTTTACAGCAAAATACGGAACCTGGGAGGGAGAGTACTGAGGGGAAGAGGGGCAGCCCGTGTTAGAAACGTTAGAATGGTCTAGCAGTTTGGAAAACATCTTTAACCTATGCCTGATCCGTCTAAAGGAAATTACTGGAGCACTTGTCCAGAACACAGCCGTGAAATGGAGGAAGTAAGAGAGATGGGAGTCTGATTGACGTGGGGCTGACTGCAGAGTCCAGGCTCTGCCAACTGCAACAGGCCCCATTGAGACCGACAGTCCCGGGAGTCCTCAGCCCAGGTGCTGCAGCTCACAGGCTCTGGGCCACCATGGAGGGCAGATCCCTAGTCTTACAGATGGAGAAACTGCGACCCAGAGAAAGGACGCAACTTCCTCGGGGCCGCAGGGCAATCCGGGGACAAGGCTGGGCCTAGAAAGCAGAGCAGTGTCACTCCGGGATGGACAGCTGTCTCCCTGCCCCACCCAGCGCCTGGCTATGGGCCAGCGACGTCTGCTAAACACGCGAGCAGGCCTGGCTCCAGGCAAGACTTTCACACTCGGGAAAATCATCTGTGTCTATGGGTCACGTTCAGCCCGCGGGCTGCCAGTTTGCAACCTCTGTCCTGAAACTGGCAGGCCTGACATAACCTTTTTTCTTGCCCTTTAAAATCGCCAGGGAAATAATCTTTGTGCAAAGGAATCAAAACACTTAAAGCCGCCACCAACAAGCAGGGCTGCTCCTTAAACAAGTCGCTTCTTTCTCTGAGTTTAGCGGGAGGATAACCGGAAGTGTCGGAGCCAGAGCGCGTAAAGAACAGAGTGAGGATGGAACTCCGGCGCCCAGCCTCGTGTCCCCATACAAACCCGGTTCCCGCCACTGCGAGGCTGAACCCGATGCCGGCCCCAACACCGGCTCCGGGATAAGCTTAGCTTCGCGACTCACATTTCTCTGGGTCCTGGACTACAGACCTGCAGCCAAAGTCCCGCAAGCGCGACAAGTCTCCCGCAGGCCGCCAACGCCGGCCGTTTCCCGGTTCGTTGTCTCAGCAACGGGCCTGGCGACGGGGCGTCGCGAGGGCCAAGCCACCTCCAGCGCGAAACTGAGCAGAGAAAATGAAGGACTCGCTTTTTCTGGCGCCTCCTGGTGGCAGGTGAGAGAACAATGGCAAACAGTCTCTGAGATAGATCCTATAGTGCATAGTAGAACTACCCCACAGCGTTTCCACGGCGTGGCTAAAGCAATTAGAAGAAATGACGTGAAAGAGCTGAACAGAAGATTTCAAAGGGCACTACAGAAAACAAAGTAGTACAATGACATGTGCATAGATCTGGAGTTAGAGGCCATTTCTCTACCTGAAAGAACCGAAGAAAAAGTTCAAAACCTCGAGTTGCAGTACTGAAGGATTCTATGGGCAAAATATTACTTGATGCAGAAATTATCAAAAGAAGATGGAAGGTGAACATTTGCACCAGGTGGGTACACTCCTTAGAACAATCAATCATGGGAGATCAGAAGGGCAGTATTTACACAGGGAGATAGCTCAGAGGGCAGGAATGCATAGGACACAGGGAAAAGATAACCACAGGAAGGAAGTGGGAAGAGAGCTATAACATTATGGGGATTGCTGTCAATGTCATGAAACAAAATGTGTATGACCTGTTGTATGGAAAATGAATGTGCTCTGTAAACTTTCACCCAAATCACAATTTAAAAAAAGAAAAAAAAAAAGCCACCATACCAAAAAGAATTGGTCAACATTCAACAATTTCTGGAGGTAGCATATGATCAGAACTTATGGTATTGAAGGAAGAAATCCATGCTGCACTGAAAGCATTGATGAAAAACAATCTTCCAGGAAATGACAAAACACCAATAGAAATGTTTCAACTAACAGGTGCAATGCTGGAGGAGCTCGCTCATCTATGTCAAGAAATGCAAAAATTATCTAATGTATTGTTAATATCACATGCAACTAAAGTTTTGCTAAAGATTATTCAAAAATGACTGTAGCAGTACATCAACAGAAAACAGCCAGAAATTTAAGTTGGATTCAGAAGAGGATATGGAAAAAGGGTTATCACTGCTGATGTCAGATGGATCTTGCCTGAAAGCGGAGAATACCAGAAAGATTTTTGCCTGTTTTATGACTATACAAAGGCATTGGACCTTGTGGATCATGAAAAAATGTGGGTAACATTGCAAAGAATGGGAATTCCAGAACACTTAATTGTGCTCATGCGGAACCTGTACATAGTCCAAGAGACAGTGGTTCAAACAGAACAAGGGTGCACTGCATAGTTTAAAACCAGGAAAGGTATGCATCGGTATTGTATCCTTTCACAATACTTGTTCAATCTGTATGCTGAGCACATAATTTGAGAAGCTGGACTACATGAAGAACATGCATTGGGATTGGAGGAAGACTGTGATATGCAGATGACACAACCTTGTTTGCTGAAAGCAAAGAAGACTTGAAGCACTTATTGATGAAAATCAAAGACTACAGGCTTCAGTATGGATTACGACATAAAATAAACTCAACATAAAACAAAAATCCTCAAAACTCCACTCATAAGCAACATCATGATAAATAGAGACAAGATTGAAGTTGTCAAGGATTTTATTTTACTTGGATCCACAATCAGTGCCTATGGAAGCAGCAGTTAAGAAATTAACCAACGTATTGCATTGGGCAAATCTCCTGCAAAAGACCTCTTTAAAGTGTTTAAGAACAAAGATGTCACTTTGAGGACTAAGGTGCACCTGACCCCAAGACATGGTATTTTCAATTGCTTCATACACATGCGAAAGCTGGACAATGAGTAAGGAAGGCAGAAGAAGAATCGATGCATTTGAATTACAGTGTTGGTGAAAAATATTAAATATACCACTGTGATAGTTGGAGCTGCATGTCAACTTGGCTGGACCCCAGTTCTGTGTGGTTGGTCCCATGGTGGGATCGGATGATTGTGTTCTGAGTGGCCAGTCTGTCAAGGGGAGTTTCCCTAGGGTGTGGCCTGCTTCCAGAATACCCAGGGATATCCTGGGAAGAGAGACATATTTCTGTGGATCGGGATTCTGTTGTGCTGCCTACAATTGTCCGTGAGTGAGCAGTCCACCGTTCGGCCTGGAGATCTTGGATTCGTCATTTGTTGGAGTCAACAGCCAGTGTACTGCCTGCCAGCCTTGAGCTTCTTGGTCCCTGCAGTTGTGGAAGCTAGGAAAAGCCTCCAGCTTGATGTTTGCTCCAGGGACTTTGGACTTGCCAGCTTCTATACGTTTGTGAGCCACTTTCCTAAGATAAATTTCTCTCTCTCTTTATATATACATAAGCTTAGCTGGTTTTTGTTTCTCTAGAGAACCCAGTCTAACACAACCACCGACTGCCAGAAGAACAAACAAATCTGTCTTACAAGAAGTCCAGCCAGAATGCTCCTGAGAAGCGAGGATGGTGAGACCTCATCTCATGCACTTTGGACATGTTGTCAGGAGGGACTGGTTCCTGGAGAAGGGCATCATGCTTGGAAAAATAGAGTCAGCAAAAAAGAGGAAGACCCTCAATGAGATAGATTGACACAGTGGCTGCCAGAATGGGCTCAAACATAGCAACCATTATGGTGCAGGATCAAGCAGTGTTTTGTTCTGTTGTACGTAGGGTCGCTATGAGTCTGAACCTACTCAGTGGTACCTAACAAAAGTCTTTTCAGAGGCCGACTGCCACATCTTTCTCTCACAGAGCTGCTGGTCAATTTGAACCTCCAAGCTTTAGGTTAGCAGCCCAAGCACTTAACCCTGCACCACCCGGGTTCCTAACCATCACTAGTCCTTTAAATAAGGAATGATAGAGGAAGGAAATCCATTCACTGCACAAACTCAGGATGGTGGTGACCTCGGAGGGATGAAAGTGAGGGTGGCAAGAAATCAAGGGATAGGAA